CTTTCTTTCCTGTTTGTTTTCTGTTTCAAAAACTAGGAAAGAAGATAAACAGTAACTGTTAAACACTTGGATGTGCTTTGCTGTGTAACTTTCACCTGGTAATGTTAACAAGATTATCTGAACAGCTGCTGATGTTTTAACAAGTGCTGGAATAACAGGGAATAATCTTGTTGAATTTTTTGGGAAAAATCCTCAACACCTAAATGTTGGCTCTGCATGAAAATGGGTAAATTCAGGATAATGTTAATCCCAGGCAGTGATTGTGAAACTGTTCTTGGCAAAGGATTGGAGAAATGCAGCATGGTTGTTACTTATCCATGGGGAAGTTTGGAAAATGCTCTTATTCAGAAACTGTCCTACACTCCAGTGGTAGGCAGATGGTGTTAGGAAATGGCAGTGTGCAGCTGGGGTCATACAGCCTTCCCTGCTCCTGACCTCCTCCTCGCAGCACGGGTTTCCACATCCTTCACCTATCTGAGCAGCCAGGAAATGATCCCGTAGGTAAACCTGCTTTGCTTGGCATCTTTGAAAATGTATATTGAACTGCTGTTGGAATATGAGGGTTGTGGCAGGAACTGCCTTGGCAGTATTGACAGGAAGAGCAGCAGATGTACAAACCTTACCTGTGGGAGTCAGGGAGGTTGTCTTGGGGAATGGTTTTACAGCCTTATTGGTGGCTCCTGTGTAGTTGCTGCCTGTTAGCAAAATCAGTATAGGGAGGTTCTCTCCCCTGAGCTGAGTCCTTTCTGTGCCAACCTGCAGCTCTTAGGGCTGCTTTGAAGTTTTCTGGTAAACTGAGTCATAGACTTTGAGCCATGCATATCAAAGGGAAAGATGCCATGGGAATTTCTACATGAGTGTAGCTAACACTGAGCCTGGTTGTTGATCCCCAAAATTCTCAGCAGGACTGAGTTCCAGTAGTTACTACCCATTTCTGAAGCCTTTCCCATCCTATTTCCCTGTGTCAGATCATGCAGCTAAACGGGAGCAATTCTGAGTGTGCCTGTTTTCCTTACACTTTCATTTATGTCCTATGGGCAGATTTTCAGTCCCTCTATTGAATTCTCAGAAGAAAATTATGTTTTGTTTTTTTTTGGTTTTTTTTTTCCCTAAACAAACCAGAATTTGGCAGAGTCACAAAGGCTTTTGTGCATTTAGGCTCTTTTCTTGCAGAGTTGAAAGCTCTTCTTTGGTCCTATGGGAAGCATGTATCAGTGGTGCTAATTATAATCCCTAGACAAGCTTGTTGCCCTGTGGAAGCAATAGGAAGTATCAGCTTCTCACTGAAACCCAACTTACTGTGGTCTGCTGATTATGTGTAGCCCTGGCAGATGTTGGGAATGAGTTGTGTTTCTTAGTGTGGCTATTCTACTCCAGGTATTCTTTGACTTTCAGTTTTGTTATCAACTCTAGGAGAAAAAAACCAAACCCAAACCAGAAGCCCATTTAGGCTTATTAGTTGGTTGATTTGACAAGGTAGTGCTGAGATGGCCAGTTCTTCATGATGATCTGCACTGATGGAGAGGGTTTGGTGGTGAGGTAGAACTAACAACTGTGTTTGGAGAGGGATGCTCTTCTCATTTAGGTTGTGAACCCCATGACATAAAGAGGGGACTTGGTGCTTTTGGGTGCCAAAGCACAGCAGGGTGGGAAAATGCTCGGGTCTGTATGTGAAGAAATAGTTGAGGCCCAAATCTGTTTGTTTGGTGGTTGGTTTGGTTTTTTTTTTATTTTAATTTTTTTTTATTATAGTCTTAACTGTGAGAATGAGCTCTGAGCCCTGAGTGTTTATCACTAGGCTCTACATAAGAAACACCTGTTAACATTGATCAGAGTGGGTGCATGCAATAAGATCCTTTGATAGTTGTCTAATGAATGTTTGTGTTCTGCCTGCCTGAGAGCATTTTCTTGGGGTACAATAGAAGAGGTTAATCATTGGATAAAGAGTAAGTGCTACAAGGGATTGGGCAATAACTCAACTTCTTTCAAAACCCTAGAGAAGATGAGTGACTGAATGTGGTGAATCATCACTGACATGGTTTTCAGAGAAGCAGCCAACATTTTTTTGGGACTTACTGAATAAGCAGTTGCTGCAATTTTTCAGTTGTGTGTGAAGGAGCCTCTTCCTACTTCCCAAAATGCAGCAATGGTCACAAAACAGGAAAAGCCTGTGGTGAATCTGGGTTTCCAGGTGTTCCTTTAGTTGGTTTCTGGTGCACAGTTTCCAAATGTAACTACACTGATTGAATTGCGATCACCTCTGTGGATTTTTGTTAATGTTTATGAGGACCTGGGCTTCTTGCTTTGCAGTAAAATACCTTAATTATAATTTTAAATGGGTAAGAGAAGAGAATATGGAGAAGGCATGTCAGGCTGACTTCCTGAAAAAAGGCACTTTCATTTCAGCATAATAGTTACATTTTTTGGTTTGTGACATCTCAGGTTTCTGTCATGTCCAGTTAGGACACTAAGTGTTTTAAGTCACTTTGGTTTTCATGCTTGCTGGTCTGGAAATTGTTCACAAGGCTAGGATGGTTCAAAATTGCTACTGATATTTGATAGCTGTTGATATCTAGTTGAAGGATATTTTCAGTGAACTTTAGAAAATGGAATAGCATTTTTGCCTGAGCAGCATCGTGCTTTGAAAGGAAACTTAAGTAAATAAATTCTGGATTACTTAAGGTTGAACACACAGAATAATGCCATTCTCGTGAGTTTTGGCTTTGCCTCTCATCTGGAATACTCATAATTCTTGATTTACTCTACTTACTTTTCATGGTGGTAAATGTTAAATTTCATTCTACAGACGGGTTCTCTGATGTGCCCTGCTTTGTTGGTTTGAACCCAATTGTATATTTGTGTTTTTCAGTATACAAGCTTTTAATGTCATTTCATTTGAAAGAGGAGAATTTGTTCTCTGTGTTTCTGAAGGCAGCTTCCAAAATCAGGAGGGGCTTCACAGTACCCAAAATAAGTTACTAATAAATGCCTATAGTGCATTTTTAATTGTGAAGCAGAATTTGTAATACTTCATGGATCAAACATTCAATTGATTGTATTATCCAGTTGGTATGCAGGTACATGCCAGATAGAGTTCTAGTTACAGAATGGATAAATTAGGTATATAAACTCAAGGTCCTGGAAGTGCCTTTGTTTATTCATTGTTGTATCATCATTGCCTGTTAATGACAATTTGGAATGCATTCATTTTAATATTTGAAAAATTGTACCTTATGTCCTGATCTGTCCTTTTTGTTTGTGCAAGGCTCCTATTGATGTAAGCAGTTCAGCAAAATTAGGTGGCATTTGAAACAGAAAAATTGTTCAGTACTTTACATCAAATACATTTGAAAGTTTGTACCAGGGTAAATGAAGTCATCTGAGCTGAATAACAAATGGTTCTCACGTGCTGCTGCTGCACTGCAGGCGATAACTGGGTGGGTACTCATGGCTTGCTTGGCACAAATGCAAAGAGCTTTTTGCATGTTCCAACTTAGAAATACTGTGAGCTGTGGCTGGAGTTTGTATTTGTTCTAGAACTTCTGCTTCTCGAATTTAGTGAGTAGCAGCAGGTGTGCAGTGTGGCTGAGCACCTTCCTTGGGGACACCTGGGGGCTTCAGTGGTGCTTGGAGCACTGGTGGTGGCTCCTGCCATAGAGGAGATGGATGTGCTTAAAAGATGTTGGGGACATAAACCTCTCCTACAACATCAGACTGGTACAGCTGGAAGGGAAGTGTGAGAGTGGCTTCTCTCCCCTCTTCCAACTCTCTTCAGTGTTGGAAGTTGCATTTTCTCAGGCAGCACTTTACTTTTTGGCTCTCCATTTTCATGTTTTTCAATGTAAATTAGGTGGCCATGGCATTAGCTGTGTAATAAGACTTGAAAAAGAGCTGCATTTATAGAGCTTTGTGCATGCAAATGGTAAAGGAAGTATCTGTTACTACACTTAGCCCTGATTAATTTCGTTTCCTTGTTAATTAACCAATATCTAAAATGGGGATTATAGACTTTCTAGGAAAAGGACTTCCCTCCTTTATGGTCTTTGAAATGTCAAGAGTTTTCAGAACTGTTTTAAAACTTAAACAGAGTGGAGGTAAACAAAATCATGGCTTCTTTGAAGTACGTCTGAGTAGGCATGCAAAATACCTGGTATCTAGTCTTGAGATAATGGGATAAATCCTGGAAGTGTTCAGGGCCAGGTTGGATGGTTCTCTGAGCAACCTGATCTAGTGGGAGGTGTCCCTGCCAATGCAGGCAGGATGGATCTAGATGATCTTTAAGGTCCCTTCCAACCCTTCCTTCCCTTACTATGATTCCGAGATACTGCTGTGTTACCAGGTGTTAGTCTGCAAAGGTACAGTGGAGCTTGAAATGAAGAGACTGACAAGAATTGTGCTTTATGAATGTAATTTTGGGGGGAGCATTATTAGTTCCTAAAAGTGGTTCACTGTGATTTAGGTCTGAGTAGTTAGTATATAAATAGTTAACATTAAGCATGCATTATAGATGAAGAATTATCATAATGAGAAACTGATGCATTCTAGTTACTGAAGCACAGCCCAAAGCTTCTGTGGCAACTTTTTTCAACAAAACCAGTTAGAGTCTGAGCAGCTGTAGGTGTCTGCTGGCAGTTTATTCTGTCATGATGGTGGCACTAATTCCAGGGGGCTACTTGTTAGACACTGGAGGTGAGGTTTCTTCAGCTGTTGTTGGTAGAGGCGCGTGGCGAGTGTGCTCTTACTGTCCTTCTCCTTAACTGAATGAAAGTGTTCAAGTGTTTCACAGGCTCTTGGACCTCTCCTTGCCTTTTACGCCATGAAGCAGAGAGTCAGCTGCTGGTGATTGATCTGAGCAAACCCAGCTCTTACCTTCACCTAGGCACTGAAAATCTGGGGCCAATTTTTCTCAGTTGAATAGTGGTCATATTTGGAGAAGTACCTTTCTTTAGCTCATTAGTTCTTATTTCTAATTACTTTTTTTTTCCTTTTATTAGGAATACATCATCCGTGTTCAGAGAGGAGTTTCAGCAGAAAACAGTTGGCAGGTAATTTCTTAAACTGTGTTTTATGTAACCAGGATGCCTTTTGAAAAATAATTTGAAAGTTATCTCTCCTAGCTTTTTTAATTTGAGCAGGAGAGAGAAGTGTTGGCTTGGAATTGAGAACACGAAGTGCTTGAATACTTTTGGTTGAAAACGAAGAGAAAACCAGTCTTGCTGCCAGCTACAGAAGGCATGTTGTCTGCTGTGATTGTGAATATTCCAGAAAAAAATGCTTGTCATGTATTACTACTGTGTGTTGGTATGACCATCATTTTTAAATCTCAAATGCCAGTTTGCCTTCTTTAGTGCTAAAATTACAGCCCTGCTGCTACATGACCAACAAAACCTAGAAGCAGTACTGGAGATGACTTTGAGAAGTTGTTACATCTAATATGGCAAAAATGCTTTGTTTGCAGACAACTTGCCTCACCATTATTTTTTAAGCTGTTTTAAGATAACGTTTAGAAATGCATTTTATTACTGGTTGAGATGAGATTAAAAGGTCTTCTTTAATCTCTAGCAATGTGATATAAATCCAGCTGTTATGCATTTGTACAAAAATGGTTAAAAGAAGAAGATTATAAATGGGAATTAGTTTTATCTGATGGGATTTTGAGGAGTAAAATGCTCATGGGCAAAGAAATGTGTTTCTTGAACTTTGTCTTTATATTTTGCAGATTGTGAGGCGATACAGTGACTTTGACTTGCTTAATAATAGCTTGCAGGTAACTTTCACTCTTGTTATATAAATATAAAATTCATTGTATTTTAAATGGTTTGGGATATTTTCATATATTGCAATGAAGACAAAGAAATACCAATTCACATAGCTATAAAGAGAAACTATGACTTTAAGATGTAGCGTGAATGTATACTTGTTTCACTTGTATGTTTTCTCTTGTGAAATTTTGGTTTTGGCATAAACAGGACCAGTTTATATGGAAATAGAGGAAACTGGCAGATACTGAATCTTTGCCTTCAGTGCTGTGACTTGTTCCGGTGTCCTGTGTTCCTGCTTGTGCCTCCTTTGGTTTGAAGAAAGCCAAGGCACATACTAACCTTATAAATCCAGCATTGAAGTGCTATGTGTCTCATTATTTATTTTCATCCAGAAGCACAACCAGATGCTGCTTATCATGTGATGGTTTTCTCTATCACTGGAAAGGGTTCCCTAGTTAAACACTGGACTTACTGTGTCTTTTATTTTGCTTTTTGGGACAATTATTTCTTTTTAGTTAGTGTGGGAAAAGGCAGGGTGTATGAGTGTGTTTGGGAAAAGGGGGGAAGCAGCAATGACTGGCATCTGCAGGAATGAAACTTGTTACTCAAGATTTCCATAGTATTATCCAAGCAAGATGAAAAGTGAACACTTCTGTGATTAGAGGATAGATTTTTGTGACTTCAACATTTTTTTTCCCCCTTGTTAAATGTTGTGTGAATTCAACACACGACACTCCTCAGTTCTTTCCATTCAGAACTCTTAGCAACAATATTTCATAGCAATATTCAGATCCCATGAGTTATTTTTAAACGCTTCAAACTCTCATCTGGTGTGTATTAGAAATTAGAGTAAACAAACAAAATCCAAACAAACAAACCCAACCCCCTCCAAACAGTTTAAAGCAGTAAGAAAATACCAAAACCTAGTCTCCTTCCTTCAAAACTAAAATGTTGCTGGAAAAACTGGAAGAGCTTCTTTTGGGTGTAAAGCCCCAAATTCTTCAATTCTTGTGGCATACTTGACCTCTCTGTAGGTTTGGGTGGTTGTGTTTGAACACACAGCTGCAGCTGAGTTGGAATGCAACTTTTTTGCTGCTTTTTTCTTTCTGCTTTTCTGGTGCTATTACCTCATAATAGTAGGGATTGAATATTTCCAAACTGCCTAGGCTAGTCCTACACCTTGAAAACAATGAGATGTGTATACATGTAAGCCTGATCTGCATCTGAAAGTTTGGAGCCAGATTCCCTGAACTCTCAGCTGTGTACTGGATTGAAAATTCCTTCCAGACAGTCCTGCATTTATTCCTCTTTCCTTACTTGACAGAGATGTGTGGAGATCATTGGCCTCTCCTCTGTTAAGTGAACAGCATTTGCAGGAAGATATCTGGCTTTTGTGAAGCATTTTATTGCAGCTTTTGAACAGACATTCCTGAGTGGGCTGTGGTTTGAAGATAAGAATGTTAATTCCCAGGTTCATCTGTTGTGAAGCCCATCCTGGCTCCAGTGCTGAGCTGGGGCCTCTGAGAAGTACTGCTCATGTTTTAAAGCATGCAAGGTCTGCCCAAGGTCAGGACCTCACTGAGGTGTTCTGTGGTAGATGGTGTTCTGACTGTGCTGTGTGTTTTGGCAGACAGCTACAAACACTTGGGGGTGAATGTTACTTTCTGCTGAAAAATAGCAGACGTGTGGTTTCTTTAAATACATTTGAAAGCAAATAACAATGGTTTGAAAGCATCTGAACTAGAATCCTTTTCTGTCTAATGTTAGCTAACTGCCTGGTCAAGAAGGTAAAGGTGATTGTGATTTGACAGGCTTTTCAGGTGAGTAATAACAGAAATTAATTTAGTTTTTGAGAAAAACAAAAGAGAACAAAGGAAAGGGATTGCTACTTCTACCCCAGTTTGTTGAACCAGTCCTCTTTAAAATGAAAGTTGGTCCAACACCAAAAGTCCTGATCTTCTTCCTG